ACGAGCTGCCATTCCGCAGCTGCACACAGCCTAAGAAAATACTACGAGGAGAGTCGCCACAGAGCTAAATGTTTGACGGTTTCTGTGAAGCGCCCACTGCCTGTCTCTTCGGCTTCAGCCAGCACCTGCACGAGCATCTCTTCGAGTAAACAAACTCCATCGCGTGCAAACTGCGCGCAGGCAAGTGAACTGTAACAATGCAGTGTTATGCGGCATGGTGGCACGAACATGCGCTCTCCAGGTACACGCGTAGCTGCAGGTTGGGCAAGGGGCTGCTTAACTGACATGGCGCCACTGTACACCGGTTCGAGCAGGACGAAACAAATCCACAAGTCCTTCTATCACACCTTCATTACTGAAGTTCTGCAAGCAGACGAACACACCATCATTGTTACGGACGGGAATACGTGCCTGCTCGTGTTTCTAACTGTAAACCAGATTTGGGCAGGAAAGCACTAGTGAAGAGCGTTACGACTCAAGTAACTCACAAGTTCTTGAATGCGTATGTGAAAAGCTATTCCACCAGAGTGATTCTTTAACGAAGAATGGATCTGGAATTCCCCTGCAGGACGTTCAAACACCAGATGAAACGGCAGATGTTCAGGTTGGAAGCATTTACCGCCGGCGGACATATGTAAAGTACACGAACTGGCGCCAACTGGATGCACGCTCGGGCGCGCCACCGTATTTTTGAAATCTCATTGAAGCATTGGTGCGGCGGCTGCGTTACTGTCGTATGGGCCTTGGTGATTGTCGTAAAGGTTCCTTAGAAGATATTGCAGAGTCTCTAATAATTTTTTCAATCGTGGGTGTTTCTGCAATACGCAGCACACGCCGGCACCAGCAGTTGTCTGTAAACGGTCAACAGTTGCCCTCCTATCCACCTGACCGGCAGGCCTAGACATTAAAGCGCGTGCCCTGCGCTATCTGCGTAGGGCTACGCTTCGAAATGGTGCTAGCACGGGGAGCTGGGCGCGAATTTATATCCTCACACATACTCCTTCAAGTCGCGGAAAGCCATAAGATCGCTCAACGTGTGCATAATGCGGAGACATCGGGTCTCCAAAGAGCAGTTCAGTTTGGTGTTCAACTCGGCGCCCTGCAGGAACTGGCTCGTTTCCCTGGTCTGCAATGCCGCCTGGACCAGAAGCAGACGTGGAAGGTCCTGAATCAGGAGCTAATAACATTTCATACTCTTCTGTGGGTGGTCCCTGTTGGACACGTGGATACGATGGCCACCACCGCTTCGCCGAGGGTGGCCTTCTCCGCCTTCGGAGACCACTTCCACCCACTCTGCTCCCTTCGCCGCAGGCGGCTTCCCCTTTGTCGGGATCCTGTACATAGTGCAGCAAATACAGTGCGCAGCATGGACATGTCAGATCGCTATAGTAAACAACACAAAGTTGCATCTACCAGGCGTAAAACCCAAAGTAGTCTTACACCCTGC